GCACACCTTGTTTTAAGTAACAAGATGAGCTTTCTGAAAACTGGAAGTGGACTTCCCATAATTTCCACTGCTGAATTGCAGTAGCACATGGCCGATTCTCCTGGGAGTGGGACGGATGTCTTCGGCTGGTCAAAGTTGCCCAACCTCTTTCTCCCATCTTGTTCCATCATGTGATGCCCAGCATATGTTCGAAATGTTAGTAAGTTCATCTCACAGCGTCAGAGCTCTTTTGTGGGATGTGGAAGTAACAGCCACAGTGAAAAGGAAATGACCTAAATGCACCATAACCAGCTTGCCTTGCAAGCCACCAAAGGACCACTAGGTGGGGGACCATGTCTGTTACGGGCGCCTTGCTCTTAAATACCTGCCCAAGCGGCCGGTATCTGAGTCTGGCCACAACACCGCTTCCAGGAGGTGTAGTCCCCCCCAAAAAAGTAACTTCTCCCAGTTCTGGAATTCAATCCCAGCAGTGGTAATGTCTCTTCTGTGCTGTGTCTGTCCACCACAGGAAGTGATAGAAGAGGAGCCATCCGGGTCATTCTCCATTACGATCCTTCACCAGGCCATGATCACAGTCACTTGCATGACGTACGTACTTGCATTTTGCTCCTTCCAATCCCTTTGGTTTTTAATGAATATAGGACCCCTCTATCCACGGGATCAGTATCCACAGTTTTGCTTATCCACAATCTGAAAATATTAAAAGAAAAAAATAGAAATGCATATTTTCATGATGTATTTATCAGGACTGGCCACTAGAGGGAGATGGAGACTATGCTTTGTATTATTGTTGTTGGGATACATAGCATGGTCTCTGGCTCCCTCTAGAGGTCACTTCTGGTAATACATGGTGAAAATACTTTTTTCTGGATTTTCTGCCTAATGGGTAGTTGATGCCCATCTCTCCTGAGAAGCCGTGGTCTCTCTCCAGCCTTCTAAGATTTGAAGGACAAGCTTCCCCTTCTGCATGAGAGAACATGTGTGTTGAGCTTTCAGTTCTGTCTCTGCTAGAAAATCAACCTCCAGATAGGGATTTAGCGCTTGTTCCCCAGGTGTGGCTAAAATACTTTCCTGATCAATACCAGGGCCAAATTGGTACCCACTCTCCATGTCTCTGCACCCCGCTTCAATAGACAGAAACCAAGTGGACTGAAGGTCTTACATCAGCACGATCGATGAAATACAGTTGCCTACCACAATAGAATGCTGAAGGGAGGCTCTTGAGAGTCCCCTGGACTGCAGAGAGAATAAACCTATCCATTCTGAAGGAAATCAACCCTGAGTGCTCACTGGAAGGTCAGATCTTGAAGCTGAGGCTCCAGTACTTTGGCCATCTCATGAGAAGAGAAGACTTCCTGGAAAAGACCTTGATGCTGGGAAAGTATGAGGGCAAGAGGAGAAGGGGATGACAGAGGCGAAGATGGCTGGACAATGTCATCGAAGCGACCAACATGAATTTGACCCAACTCCAGGAGGCAGTGGAAGACAGGAGGGCCTGGCATGGTCTGGTCATGAAGAGTCGGACACAACTTAACAACTAAAGAGAGAGAGAGACCACAATAGGAGCTAATTTAAGTGGTGCATATTGGGTTGTTTAATACCCAGAGGTCTAGTCATCGAGACAGGGGAATATCTAGGGTCTCCCACAGAAGGAATGTCATTGCTACCATCCACACTTCTGTAGTGAACATTGTACAAATGTTGAATTAGTTGTTGGACATGTCCTTCCAAAACTGAGTGTGGTGTAGTGAATAGAGTGACCAACTAGGACTCTGGAGACCTGGGTTCAAATTTCCACTGAGTCATGAAAACTCACTAGGACAGTGGAACTGGTAAAAACACTCCTTAAATATCTCACTTAGCTTGAAAGTCCTATTAGGATCGCTTTAAATCGGCCCACTGGGATGGCACATAAACAACTACTATTTCCTTCCAAAGAGGCTGGCTCATTGATTTCAATCCATTTTCTTCCCACGCTTTCTTCTGATTCTTTCCCTCCAGTCCCTTGAAGCCCCCGCTGGACTCAGAGGTGAGATCTGAGCTGGTGAGTAAAAGCGTCAAGAAAGTGTTCTCTCTGCCATCCCTGAAAGTGACGAAGCTAAAAGCAGGCATGCCCATGCATCCGATCCAGACACAGGTGACTTGACCTTCCACATCAGGGAAGATTAAAAGATGAGAGGAAAGAGAGGGCAGGGTCATGTGATCCATTGTATCCATCCATATGACAGCACTCTGTCCTAGTATCGTGTGTGTTTGCTTGCTGTGGGCTTGTGTGCATATGTCATCTTGAAAATATGCTCTCATCCGGTTTGCAAACAGAAAGCATTTCCTTTAGCTGCACACTTCTCCTTTTGCAATGAGCCCTCTGGCAGACTTGGGCTATTGCCCATTACCCAGCAATGCTGGCCTCTGACACAGAGTGCGACCACGTTGGCAAACCATGCAGGAAATGCTCAGGGATCAGGATGGGCTGATTTGCGTTTTTCCCCCTGTTGACCATATGGTATAAAAGGAAAGGCAACAAAACAAAGCAACCTGTAGAGAATGAGAAAAAGAAATGAGAGGAGGAAATCAGCACTCTGCCCTTGTTTACAGCTTATTTTAGTAGCACTTCTGTAGCTGCACGACCTGCAAGGCTACAATAGATCTACATTAATAAGCTGCAAACAAGGCTGTTTGGCCTATTTCTTCCTCTCTCTATGTGGCCAGTTAATTTGAAAAGTTCCAGGGAAAACCCAAATGCAAATTTGCATTTCTCTCACTGTGCAGTTGTACTCCAAAGCCCTTGGGGGTGGAGGGGGGAAGAGCAGATATGAGTGTTAGAACAGAGCCCCAGCACACAAATGACAAATGATGAAAAGTAACAAAAGGAGAGAATAGTAGGCCATTCCATCCCCGCCTTGTCTTTTCTAGATCTGTGTGTAGATTAGTGCTCTTAGGCTTCCTTCCTTCTTTCCCTCTCTTCCTCTTTCTTGCTTCATTTTCTCCTCCATTTTATTTAGGGAGAGGCAGATAATGCCAGCAGCCTCTGCAAGCCAGCTCTAGGGACCTCTGTTACCATGTTTGGAGACCTTTTCCCCTCTTGCATATTTTTGCTTCACTGCCAGCCTCAATTCTGTTTCTTACACACTCGTTCAGCACTAGATGGTTGCACGCCGTCATTACAAACACCCATCTATTCCTAAAAAGAAAGACTAACTTTTCCATCACTGCTTTGTAAAACAGCAACCTTGCGGAACAGATTCTTCCTTCCGCTGCACCTGGTGAACTCTCAAAAGGCGCCATAGGACCATCCCTCTGCTGCTGGCATGTCCCCACCTGTGCCGATAAGATGTTGCACCCATTGTCCTTGGGTTCCATCCAATATCCGATCCCTTTCCAGGTCTTTGGCCATGCAGGTCAGGTCTGAATTGACAAGGGAAAGTCTTTGACTGTGCAGGTGTAGTAAAGCCACTGCTTTTTCTTGCTCCACGTCTAGGATTTTTACCACCAGACGGTCGTGGCCTGCCACAACATGCTCACCGGGTTGCTGTCGGAGGCCCCCAATTTGGAGTCGCTGCAGGACATCTTGATAGTAAGGGAGCCACTGAAATTGCCCCAAGGAAAGGAGGGGGAGGAGGAGCTGCCTTGCGGGACGTCCTCCTAAAATGAATTTGTACGGTTGCATCTGCCCCAGATGTTCTCTTGGAAGCCCAGGAGTAGATGAAGTGTAAAAGCCTGGATGAGCTGTTTTTAAAATAAAATTAGAACTCCCAGAATCCCCTGGCCAGCATGTGCCGGATGTGGGATTCTGGGAGATTTAATCCTATAAAGCAAATTTCCCAGCTCTGATTCATTCGATCTCCTGCACAATGTTAAAAGCAACGTGTGCTGCCTATAGGCTGCCCCATAGTGCTTAAGCAGCACACTTTAAAGCACTATCTGGGCGGTTTGCAATTTAATTATGAAGGCTACACCTTGCACCCTGCCCCAGCAAGCTGGGTCCTCCATTTACCGACCTCAGAAGGATGGAAGGCTGAGTGAACCTCAAGCCGGCTACCAGGGACCGAACCCAGGTTGTGGACAAAGTTTTGGCTGCAGTGCATCAGTTGAACCACTGTGCCTCGAGGCTCCAGCGATTTACTGCCCTGTTATAATGCCACTGCAGTTATACCAACATAAATAAGCAAAAGGAGATGGGCCAACATCAAATTGAGATCATAAGCAGAGTCGTTACTGCAGTACTGCAGTTTAATTGCAGCACCACAAAGTTCTGCCCGCTGTGCCGTGAGCCTCTCTTGTCTGCATCTAAACCTTGCTACCATTTTTTGCACGCTCATCCTTCTTGTGCTGGACAAATATTTACAACGCTTTCTCTGCATGATGTGGGGAGCTAAGCCTTGACATTGCCAAGTCCACCATGTGAGAGAATGAAAACTTAGAAAGAACCAAAAGAGAGCAGCTTTGGATCAATCTTCAGCTGTCACAGAATAGCTAAAGATTGCTTCAATCTTTTGCTTCTGCTCCAGAGTCAGCAGCTGCCCCTGGTTCTTCTCTCCCCGCTAGCAACTGGTTCTCAGAAGCAGACTGCCCCTGACTGAAGAGGCTCCCCTGACTCTCCTGGCTGTAGAAGCCTTTCCCAGACGTTTTAGGTTGCCTCTCCAAGAATCCTCCACCAGCTTTGTCTGGATTTAAGCCTTTTCCTCCAAAATGTTTCTGCTTATGAATTCATTTCCTCCACTACCCCTTGTGCCGGATCTTGCCAGTACAGTAGAGATATTTTTGTTTTCTAGCTCAGGGGATGAAGTTAAACTCCGGACAGCAACCAGCTGCAAAGGAAGGATTTCAAATTCTCCCAGCCACGTCTGAGGGTTCCAGTCCTAAGGCAGAGCCCAGAAACTTAGATACCAGGGGAGGGAGGAAGGGAAGGAGGGAGGGACAGTTTCAAACTAAATACTTCACATGTTGCCTGCTTATCAAGAAAGAACAGGTAGAGGCTGGAATCCTGATGATGATTTATGACCCAGCCACATTACTAGACACATGTCTGTTGCACAATCAGGCATGTACCTAATAAAGCAACTAGTTTGTCTTTAATTACCATATTTTTCCCATGTATAAGACTATACTTTTGTCTAAAGTCTTTAGACTAAAAATTGAGGGTCGTCTTATACAGGAAAGTCAGATGAGGAGAGAACAAAAACAAGTGAAGGGGAAAGCAAGGATCAAAGCAATCCTGCAGCGTTTTGATGCCTTTCCCGCTACACTTGCTAATCCCCACTTAGAATTCTTAATTTTGTATTAGAAAAGTGGGGGCGTCTTATACATGGGGGTGTCTTATAGACAGAAAAATACGGTAATGACAATTTCCTATGGTGAGTTAGGCAATGTAACTTATGCATGTGTCAATCGCCAACAGGCTGCCAGATCCTGTATTCCTCTGCTGACAAGTAAATCCCCATTAATTTGCACCGATCCTTTCCCTTTGCAATTTGATTTTTCAGTAGATCCTCTCTGGTCCCAGCAAGAGCCAGTTGGGGGCCACGATGCTGTGGCTAAAGCTTTCTTTGCCTTTTCCTTTTCCTTCTCAGCACACAAACATCTGGATAGACTCCCCAAAGAACTACGAGCGGGAAAGGGCTATTAGGGGCACGAGTCACCTCCTGAAGTTTGCCTCGGAACACTTGGAATTTGATGTGAGTGAAAGCCTGAGGTGACACACGCACACACACGTGCATGCGCTTGCACGCGCACATGCACACACACACACACAAAGAGATTGCTCAGTCCGTCCCGAATGTGTGCCTGGAAGGGGCAGGAAATCCTTTGTGATCCATATGGGTCACAAGAACATTAACTTGCAGCCGTTAAAGCGAAAGCCTCCAAAGTAGAGAACAAGACACTACTGGTCTTATTAAATTGTATTTATTTATATGCCACTTCCCTGCCCAAACTGAGAACCATATCTTAGAGCAGTCCAACGACGGAACCTATGACCTTCGGCAGGAGCTGAGCGCTTCAATGCTGGAGGCCTTCAAGAGAACATGGGACAACCCTCTGTCGGATCTGCATTGATTTGGATTCCTGCCTTGAGCAGGGGGGTTGGATTGGATGGCCTTCGAGGCCCCTTCCAATGGCATTTGAACTTGACAACAACTCCCAGATAGACATACTTGCTAGTGTACCTGCATCTTCCTCCAGAAAATGCACGGTGTCCACATGTCCCACTCTTTATGCCCAATTGTGGTTTCTCCTTGCTTGCTACTCAAGGACATGAAACGCACCCTGTCAGATCACAACTGGGTTGGGTTGGAAGGGGCCTTATAGGGCTATCAAGTCAACCCCTCTCTTAAATGCCAGAATCCAAATCAAAGTTTAACCTTCTAGGCCCCTTCCAACTCCATGATTCTAGGGTTCTAGGACTCCTGATTCCTCGACCCTCCCAGCTGCTGAGGAAACTGGTGGGGAAGATGAATGATGGATTGTGGAGCTCAAGCGTGCTGTGATTTGTCTCACTGGGAAGAAGCATGACTCAGATCTGGGGCCCTTCCCAAAGGTTGTACCTGAAGACTCAAAGCACACTACAGTGGTGCCTCGCTAGACAGTTACCCTGCATGACAGTTTTTTCGCTAGACATTGACTTTTTGTGATCACTATAAGGTAAAGGTAAAGGTTCCCCTTGACAATTTTTG